ACATATATATATATATATATATATATATATATATTGTTCCATTCCACGCACGCAACACACGTAGAATTGTGAACCGCGAGCGGTCGCGCTCGCAGCTCCGCTCTTACCTCCGGGAATCTCTTCGTCCATCTCGCAAACCGTGTCCGGAACGGGGAAGAGACAGAGACAGAAACAGACGGACAGAAAGAGAGAGAGAGAAAGAGAGAGAAAGAACAAGAAATAGAGATATATATATAAAAGCCAGGACAAAATATTTATGTATTAAAGGGGTGAAGAGATGGGGACATCCGGAAATAATAATGACTCACAAGACAATATGACAACACTCATTAGTGAACATGATATGGTGGGTTCATATGAGGCGGGATTCCAAATGGCAGGTTTAATATATGATGTCAGGGTATCATCGAGCTTCCGACATCATTTCGCGAGCCAAATGATTCAAACGAAAGAAATAAATCGAGAGTAAAGTAGAGAAAGAGAGAGAAAGAGAGAGATTAGGAGGCACAGAGGCGATCCAAGGCGGGCAAGATCGACGACAGGGGGTGAGGGAAACGAGATAGGAGATATACCGAGGCTTCGGGGGATGCGTCATACGACATCTTACCTCCAGAAGTTCCTGGTTCTGCGTTTGGGTCTGAGCCTGCTGGGTATTGTCCGGCAGTATGGCCGTGGTCGTCGTGCCGGTCGACGTAGTCGTCGACGACGACTGGTTCGACGTGGAGGTCGGCGCCGTCGGCTGCGATGACGGCGCCAAGCCCACCGACGTCGACTGCAGGCTCAAGGTAGCAGCGCAGGACGGCGGCGGCGGCGGTGGCGGTGGCGGCAACGGCGGCGGCGGCGGCGGCGGCGGCAGCGGCGGCGGCGGTACTACCTGCACCTGCGGCGGTGCTACGACCACGGAGGCCAACGACGTCGACGGCGGTGTCGTCGTGATCGTCGTCGTGATCGTCGTCGTCGCTATCGCCGCCGGGGTGCAGAGCGCCGCCGTCGTCGAGCCGGATGACAGTGATGAAATCGGCGGCGGCGGCGGTTTTTTCGGCACGTCCTCGACGTCCGGTTGCTGCATCATGTCCCGGTTGCGCCAGCTCTCGGCGATGCTCTCGCGGTTCTTCCAGATGGTGGCAACCGTACTGCTCGCCAGACCCAGCTCGCGAGCCACGTCGCTCTTGCTCTTGCCGCGCTCGATCTCTTGGATGATCTTCATTTTCTGCTTGATTGTGAACGCGAGCCGCTTTCGACCCTGCGTTGGTTTGGTGGTGGGTTTCAGGGATGCCCAATATATAATCGATCGCGTTAATCGGCGGTTTGGGAGTCCGGGCGATACGCGGAGATCGTTTTCGCAATTAGACCGGATTTATTTTATTAACTCGAGCTAAAATTTTGTCAAATTTTTCACACTAAAAAATCGTTAAAATTTTTCCTCTCGAAACTGGCAAATCGGGGAAAACTCGTCGCTATTAAATATAAAATGTAATTTGATATCTTCCACAACTTTAGGTTGTCGCAATATTGCTGACAAAATGATTACGTGATAGCGACTTCGCGAGCTCCGCGTGCCGCCTCTTTGGAAAAACTACGAGTAACTATGATCACCAATTTCAGATACGATAAGCACATAAAAGCGACTGCCACTTGAAAAAAAAAAATAAAAAAATATAAATTACGTACTCTCATTATCATTAAATAATTTCTCGATTGAATTTCATAATTTCCCAACACAACGTATATACAAAGTGTTTGGTTATAAATATCCAGATAAATATCTCGTAATTTTTTGAGGTTATAGAAAATATCAATAAAGGAAGTTTGCATGATTTTTATATAGTCCACAGGAAAATAAAAGCAAAATAATTTTTTTATTCATGACATTTCTGATTACTAAAGGTCACCTTCGATTTTTTCTAAATGAAATATTTTTTAGCGTATATCGATTTCTCTAGTCATTCTACATATAAAAAGGCTTGGGAAAAAACGCCAAAAGTGAGTATTTGCCAAGAATTTTTACATTTTATCCTGATATTTTTCAATGCAAAAATACAATATTCCGTACTTTTATACGTAGAACGACTGATGAAATCAATTGTTGTAAGAACACATAAAGAAATATTAAAAAAAGTTCCATTGCATTTTACAGAATAAATGTACTAGTATGTAAAGATTAATATGACCGATCAATTTCTTTTAATTTTATATATAAAAGTATTAAAATGAGGTTGTGGAAAAGTAGATAATTTACAAGGTATTTTATATCTTGTACGGGAAAGTATTAGGATAAAATGTAAAATATATAGGATTCAAGTTTCGATGATTTTACTTCGATACTTTTGCATGTCTTGAGGAATTATTTAGTATTAAAAAGATCACATGATTCCATCAAAAAAATCGAAGATGACTTTTATGATATGAAAAGATCATAGGTAAAAAAATTGTTTGTTTACTTGTATGTTATTATGGACGAAAAATCATGCAAATTTCCTTCAGTGATATATATTTCCTGTAACTTTAAATAGTCACGAGATATTTGCTCGAATACTTATAACAAAAAGCACCATGTATATACAATAACAACACAAAGACACACGATCAAGATAACGATTTTCAACATCGATACTTCGCTAAATTAAAATCACTCCAATCTTTCGATTGGTTTGTCTAACAAAACGCAATAGTAATGCACCGTTAATGCGCCACATCTTTCGTTCGTGTCCTCTCTATGTTCTCGGGGAGAAGCATCGATTAGGATCGGTTATATACGATCTGGGCATCCCTTATTTCGCGCATCCACTACATGTGCGAGTCCGCGCGTGTAGCTACACAGTTACTACGCTTCTATTGTGTCGTCTGACGTTTTTCTTCTATTTTTTCACAAATTGCACGGCTTGTGATGGTAATGGTGGTGGTGGTAGTGTGTGTAATGTGCGGGCCAGTGATATATGCTGGTGCGTGTGGATGTGGAGTGCGTGTGGATGTGGAGTGCGTGTATGAATGCGGGGGAAGGGGGAGAGAGAAAGACAGAAAGAAAGAAAGAGAGAGAAAGATAAATGAACGAACGAGTGACAGTGATTGAGGGGGATAGGGCGGTAATCTGGCTTGCGTGAAGGATTTTGACGGGGTAGTTTGGAGAACTATCACAAATGGAGGGGGGAAGGGCTTTTGAAATTTCTACAATCGCGCCTCTACTTCCACAACAACAGCAACAGCAACAATGACGACGACGAGATGACAACGACAATGACGAAAAGATTTTTTCCATTGCACAGACAAATTTCCGAAAGAAACGTCGATCGGTCGTCCTCACCACATCTTTCGAGAGCGAGATTCGCTCGAAATCGACCATTCGTGTTCGTGCCTTCTCGAACTCGCGTACATATACCTGCCGCGTGCAAATTTTGAAAAGGAATTTATCTCTCAAGCACTCGAACGCGGCATCTGATTACGTCGGAGTAGGGAAATGATTCTGGAGCGAGGTGGTTCCTCGCTTAACTCGGGAGCAGGCATGTGAATTTGACTAACGACCAAAGAAGTAAGATAGTAAAAAAGAGAATATTAAAAAAAGAGAATACTATTAAGAAAATATATAATTAATAATATTCTTTTCATTGATTATCATAACACACTCCAAATTGTTCGATATTCATTATCAATTATTCATTTGTTATGATATATGTATGTGCCGATCCATTCAAATCAACTAATAGTAACATTACATCAATGTTATAATTTTTCATTCAGCAATATAAATGTAATATAACACATATTGTGTACATAACAATTACGTTATTGAATGGGAAATCATAACATTGATATAATGTTGCCGTTATAATTGATGTTTACTGGAAAAGTCAAAAGAAACGCGTCTACTTCCGAGTTAAGTGCTTTTATTCTCTTTCCATCATCTCGATCTTTCCGACAAATTCCGCGTTGTGAAGTTCGATAATCCGTGTATAACAAAAAATTCATACTCCTATTAATTCACACTTTTTTACAACACTCGAAATTTTATCAAATTTTTACTCCTGTCAGGGTTCCGTAACCCTTTAAACGGTGTCATTGGCGAGTACATTTTACATGTCAACTGTACAATTCGCTCTTACCACTGACGCGTAAAATCAGAGTAAGAGAGAGACCGAGCAAATCTTTCAGCCTAAATGACACTCGTTCTATTCGCATTGCACTTCGCGTATCAGATGCATCCTTTTGCGTGTGACGCAGCTTCCCTTTCCATTACCAGAAAAGCTTTTCTTCCCTTACCAGAAAATTCTCAGTGAAAACGCCACTCCCGCCCTTACCCTCAAAGAAAATAGACAAAAACTACGCGATGGGGAAAAATAAAATATTTGTACATATCAACGATATATTTGTTTATATCATGTATATAAGTATCGGTGATATTGATTGAGAACACACGTAATCGTTTCAAAACAAATCCCGGGGTGCACGAGATATCGACTGCCACGCGGGGAATTTTTTAATTCGAACCTACATCGACATCTATATTAATTTATTTACAATTCCAGCGTTCCCATACAAAAAAAGAAAAATAATAACTATAAATATCACACGTGATTTAGTGTAAACCAACAAGAAAAGGATGATCGTAAAAGAGGCACGACATTTTCGTTCCTTTCTCTCGTCGAATGACTTTTAACGATAGATGCCGAGATCGGCACGGTTATAGTTCCTCTTTTTGTGTTTTCATTTCACTCCTCTTTCCGACGACAGTTGCATGTTGATTTAATGGATAAAAAACAATGAAATCATCGCGCGCTCGTTCTTCCCACGATTCTTTTTCTCTTAATTACCAAACAATTAAACGCTCGGAGAGCTAATAATAATTTGGCGAAATCAAAAAGGGATAAAACTCAAATAGAGGGTGCTTTCGGGTGAGAGGACATGCAGGGTTCTCCTGTCACTATCGCTAGCGGTCGTCGGTTGGCAATGGGTGTCTCATGTGTCCTAGGACATTTGAGGGGGTGGGGGTGGCGGGTGAGGGGGTTGTAAGAGGGTCGTTGGACGTATATATAGTATATAAGAGAGTTTCTCTATACAAGAATATTCATTATAAAAAAGAGTCGTATATAATATATGTATATATAGACAAATGTATATATATATACGGAGAAAAAATATATATATGTATATATATATAAATACGGCACACACAGAGAGCATGCGACACGCACGACAGGTGGACAAAATACAAAAAAACGTAGGTATCCCAAATAGAATAAGAGAACAGTTTTTCGTGTGAATGAAACAACGAGATCGAGACAAACGTGAAAAGGAAACTCGACGACGTAAAAAAGAGAGAGAAAGAGTGATAGAGAGAGATAGAGAGAGATAGAGAGAGAGAAAGAAAGAATGAGAGACACGTCGGGGACTTACCTCGAGCAGCTGTTGATTCCTGATTTCTCGTTCCCGTCTCACGGCTTCCTGCCGCTCCGTCTTCTCCTGCTCCTTAATAAGCCTACAATAAGGGTATCATTAACTTCGCATCATCTTCGATGATAAAAACGCTCGAACAAATCGTTAATCAAAGAGTGACCCCGCGAAACTACCTGGTTCATAAATTTCACGAACGTTCAAGAGAACGAGCGCGACTGAGAGAAAGAAAGAGAAAGAAAGAGAAGAAGGAATAGGGGTAGAGAGAGTGAAGAGGAGAGGGAGAGAAAGGGAGAGAGAGAGAGAGAAAGAGAGTAAATCCGAGCTTTAAATTAATACAGCAGAAAAGAAAAGATCTCACGCGTGCGCATTCAGCCTTCGTCATCACCGTCGTCGTCGTCATAGCTCTTGCTCGATAACGTTTACGGTTACGCACGCAACGATCTTACCGACGAAAAGATAAGCGTTAATTAAACATTGACATGTTGGCTGCCGAGACCGCGGGATTAAGTAATGAAATGCACACGTTTACTACGCGCCGAGAAGATAATAAATAATCGTGCGCTCGTCGCCTCGGCGACATCTCCAATAAACTTTATGATTTATTCGGTCGTCAGCAGGGACCATTATTAACTGCTCGTAGTTTTATGAAATAATCGACAACGCGGAGATCTCACACGCGTCGCTCGGCTTTCTCTTTCTTTCTCTCATAGTCTCTCTTTCTCTTCGTCTTTCAACTACAACGTCCATCGTTTATCATTTATCGCGCATTTATATACACTGCCAGGTGTACACTTAGTTTCAATACGGTTTGAACACTTTGTCGACGCACTTTGAAACGCAACTGATGGTGACAGAACTTGTTTTTGATTAATTCTCAGAAATTCTCTCTCTTTGGACCATTTGTTTCGAATTGATTCCGGTATCCAAAAGTTTCCGTATAAAAAAGACATAAGTCATTTTGAAATCGAGTATATGCACATATAAAAATATAATTCTGCTTCTAAGAAAAGTAATTATTTTTCATTTATTTTTCTTCTTTTAAGTAATGGTTATCTTTAACAAAGAATATTTGTTTCATAATTGTCTTAAAATATGTTCACAAATTCTAGAAAAGCTCATTACCATACACTCAAAAGGAGAATTAATTTTCTTTATAACAATATTGTAAAACTTTATCGAAGGAAAAAATTGTTCGATTCTATATAGAGAAAAAATGTTTGAAATTTGTAACTATGATCACACAAAAAAGCAACTACTATTATGGTAAAGAAAATAATGTTATATTATTAAATTCTATTATAATATTAGTAATAATAACTTTATATGCACGTTCTCATTTTCGTGTTAGAATTAAAAAATATGTGATTGAAAGAACAAAAATAATTATAAATTCAGTTAGATCAACCATTTTTAATCTCTCAATATATGTAGCAAGTAAACCGAATTTTTGTTTTAATTTAATATTTTTTATTAAAGTATAAACTCTTACGAGAGAATTCAGGATATATTTTGAATATATTTAATGTTTACAATGAAAAAAGAAAATTTATAATTATAAATATGCGAATATATAAGATACTTATTAAAATAAGTGATATTTATTTAAATAAAATATGTACTTTTCTGTATGTAAGATATAACACGTCCAATACCCGACACTCGAATTGTTCTCGGCATTCTTGCATAAGTTTTATCAAATGTATGATGTATAGGAATTATACTCATTTTGTTCATGGTTTAGTGCCGCGTCTTTTGTGGGTTTGTTTCCGATATTTCATGAACATTTTCAATTTACTCCGTCAGAGAGGAGAGCAACTTGATATAGTACCATGCGACAATGATAAAACAAAATTTATAAATTTGTATATTACGTGAACACTTACCTCGCTTGCTCCTTGTGCCGTTGTGCTTCTTCCTTCGCGAGTTTCTTCGCATAGGCCAGTTTGTCTCGCTCATACTGATTGTTTGTCCGTACGTCCCTGAAGCCGCCAGCCGCTCGGAGCTCATCCAGTCTTCTTGCCACCTCCTGGGCCCCAAGTCTGACGAACTCGGCCTCCGCCAAACCCATAGTGGGTTGCAAGAACTCGCCAACCAACGGACGCGAAGAAAACGAAAAGTTGGCAGTTGTCAATTCAACGGGGTTTTGATGCTCCAGAAACTGCAGAAAGCAGAAAACGAATATTTTTTTCTTTCTCCCACAAACAATCGACCGAAAATTTTATCCAGATTTTATTTGATATAATTTTGTTGTTCTTTCTATTGTAATGGCATTATGTTGCAACTTAAATACTGTCAAAAGTTAAATTTTTTAAAAGTAAATAGTCCGTAAACTTATTTTCTCTTAAGAATTGTTTCAATACATTAAACGCAATTTACACACATGTACACTGAATTTCAAAAGAGTTTGAACTAAAGATGTGTCGGATACTAAATTTGCCGGATACCGGATATCCGATAATAACGTGATACCAGATATGCGGCCGGATACTGGATATTCAGTACTAATTTCTATAGAAATTTCTATATTAACATTTACATAAGTAATACATTACATAACATTTGCCTTTATTTGCCACATTATGGGGAGCCAACTTTATAAAACAAATGTATTCTTTTAACACATATAGGTGTGTCAATTTACCTTACAACAGAATTTTTATTTCTCTTCTTATGGCTCTTGCAGACCAGCGCGATGCGCGACGTAACACGCGATATATAACGAGCGATATCCAATCAGAGTATTGGTATTCCGGTAAAACTGTACGTTCATTGGACATCGCGCGTCGCATATCGTGTATTGTGCTGGTCTGAGAAAGCGGGTTACTCTGGCTGCACTACCAATCATTATTGAATATAAATCTTCAGAAAGATTATATATTACAGAGTTAACTTAATAAAAGATAATTAGTTTGTTCTTAGAGAACTTTAGATTTCGAATCCTGCATTAATGACGTAAATATTCAAACTTATACTAATAAATTAATATCCGGTTATCCGACCGGATACTAATGAAATCCAGCTATTCGGCTGAATTGTAAAAAGATGGCTAGATAGACCGAATATCGGATAGTTGCCGGATATCCGGCACATCCCTAGTTTGAACACTTTTTGGTAAAAATACCGAATAAGAGACCCAACCTATAACCTTGACCTTAACATATGTTATCAATGTCCCTGAATAATATTTAACAAATTTTAAGCATCGCACATTGCTTGTGTTAAAAAATTAATTTTAAAGAAAGTTTATAAATAAAACAATTTTTACACACAGTATACATTGAAATATAAGCTGTACATATATATGCACGGAAGAAAGGTTCCGTCTCTTTCCACCTCTTTCTAAAAAAAGAAAAAAAACTAACCTAATCTAATATACCATTTATATTTTTGTTTTCTTTCTCTGTATATTTTATATTTTTATATTATTTCTCATTGAGAAGCTATATATAAAAATGTAAACCATGAGATATAAACAATAGGTTTTTTTTAGGAGGGGATGCAAAGGGAAAAACGAAGCCCCTCCCCCGCGCATATACGTGTTCAGTTTACCATATTTTAATGTACATTATGTGTAAAAATCCGTTTTCTTTATAAAAATTCTTTTGTTAATAACTTTTTAATAAACAATGAGTAAAGTCTAAAACCTTTTGAATGTTACTCAGAAACATATCATTAATAATATGTCAAGATCAAGTTTATAGGAGATGAGTCCCTTACCCGATATTTTTACCAAAAATGTACAGGATGGGTCAGGTTAGGTTTTGTTGGGAGGAAGGGCAGCGGAGCTTTTCCTTCGCGCATGTATGTATTGCTTACTATATTTCAATGTATACCGTATGCAAAAATTATGTTTAATTTATAAAACTTTTTTTATTAATAACTTTGATTACAACTTGTTATTTATTAATAAACAAATAAAGATTAAAATCTATTTAGAAGAGTAATATGATAAGGTCAAGGTATGTCAAGGCCATAGAAGCTGAGTCCCTATTCAGTATTTTTACCCGTTTATTTTTTGATGTGTTTTGAAACACAGCCGATAGTACAATGAGAGAATTTATTTCTTATTAATTCTCAGAAGTTCTCTCACTGGACTATTGTGTTTTAAACTGAAATGAAAAAAAAGCATTTAAACCGTCTTGAAACCTAGTGTACAATTAAAAAAAAGATTAATTGAACTGAGATATAATTAAAGTCACAGTTAGTATTTGCATATATCACAAATATAAAAGTAAGTTCCGGTATCATTCTAACGATCAAACTATTCTTGCATTTTTAATGAAAAACTAACAGACGATAAAACAGACTTTTCGAGAAATTAATATGTAATTGATTATGTAAAATACATAATTTTTGATAACCCCGATTGAAGTATACGGAGTAACACAATTAACCTATAAATAGAGCTGACAATATTGTATGCTCTATATTTCTCTTTGTGCTTCTTGGTTAAATTTTTGAAAAATAAAATGGTTAATCTTTTGTTGTCACACTTATTTTTTCTGTTTAGTTTGGCACACTGAATTTGTGAGACTCAGTAACTTTTCCGATATGCCCTTATTTAAATATTTATAAATGTGTTTATCTAAGAAATAGATATAACAGTAAACAGATATGATAGTTTTGAATGTAAAAAAAAATAAATTCGAAAATCTTGTCACGTTCATAACTTTTAAAATAAATAATTTCAGATATAAGAGAAAAAAGGCACTATTATAAAATATAATTATAAAATTATAAAATTTTACAAAAGTAAAACATTTTACGCGCTTTAAAGAAAGAATTCTATATTTATATATGCAATAATTCAAAATTCAATAATTATGGGATTTTTAAACCGAGAATTACAAGAAGTATAAACATATCTCAGATAATACATTTCATTTAATAATGTTGGTAATAGTGGCAGTAATGACTCCAAATCTCAAAGCCAATTTTTGCAACTTCTTAATAAGCTAATAGTTAAATCTGTTGTTTAATTTGAACGTAAAACAAAGATAAACGCATGATTTAACTGAGGTTTATTTAGAAAAATCAGCTCTTAATAACCTTCAGTTTTTATCTTTTCGTTCTTAAGAGATTGTTCGTCCTCTCCGATCTCGTGGATTACTGCAGATCACAGATAAGCTGCAGCGGTTTGTGTTGATATATTCGTAACTTCAAAGCTTCAACATTCATGTGAATTTATTTAGCTATTGTAGTTTTTATGATTATTACCAATCTTTGTTTAGTCAAACATCCATTTTTGTTATTTTTATTTCAAAAGAAGAAAAGAAAATTCACAAGATCGAAAATTAAGTCTGAGAATTATGTTTTACTAATCTAATAATATTATGAAGTTGTTTTTTTAATAAAACTGATACTCTCTGATTATTTTTAATTATTCAGATACAAAAACTTAAAGTTAAAATTTTAATAGCAGGAATTGATGGAATTGCTGATGAAAGTTGTGGGATACGATCGAACCTCACCTTGTGGTTAACGTTCCAAAAATCGGGCCTTATCATTGTCGGATAGATTAATTTGACTCATAAATGCCAAATTAAGAGTCAACACTAGATACTAAGCTAGGGCGAAGCAATCGAAATGACAGTATATAATTTCTTCTAAAAATTATTTAAATTTATAACAGCACATTTTATATTTTTATATAATTGGCAATGAATAAAACTAAAAAGAAGGAATAAATATTTTTCTCCTTGTACAACGCACTTTTCTTAAAATATCTATCATTTCGATTGTTCTGATAAAAATAAGTTGTTAATCACCGGTATTTTTAATGTTGAATAATCTGAAAAATTAATATTGACTCCAACAACTCTAACGTATCACATCTCAAACTTCCAAGAACTGACGCGCGAATCGCCAATTTGATAACTCGCTCCAAACGTCGTCGGTTTGTCGCACGATATGTTACATAGAAACCAACCTTTACTAGATCGGGACTGCTCCTGAAAGTTTTCCCGCAGGGACTGTAATACGACACGTCGCCTTTTATCACTCCCGTCTTTCCCAGTCCCCTGATAACTGTTTCGCGTTTCCAGCCGCGCTCCAGAGGCATCTGCAGGTCTCGCTCGCTGGGTTTGAGCTTCCTCCGCTTCGCGCTGGATGTGCCCTCTACGTTGTCGTCGTCGGTGTCTGTGACAACGTCGGTGTTGCTACCGCTCTCGCTGGTCACGTCCATATTGCTCTCTTCGCCCGAGACCTCCAATAATTTGTTCTTCATTTTTTCCTGTAAAGATCGCTATATAGGGAGAATGGTTTTAGTTACGAAATCATAAGCGAACGAAAAGGAAATGAAACGTGGCTCCCATGTGAATCGGTCGAGGCGCTCTCCTCTTTTCTTCTTCTTAGTTTGTCCCCGTTGACAAATTATAATAATACTCCGCTCAACAAAGGTATATAATGATATTAAAATTACACACATATATATATGTGTGTAATTTTAATGTATGTATATATATATATATATATATATATATATATATATATATATATATATATATATATATATA